GAGATGTTAAGTTCACTTTAATTGTATCATATGCGCAGTACAAGTTAATGTAAACTACCATTGATCAGCCGAGGTGGATGTGACTGAAGTTACCATTGTTGATTGTCAAGTTAGATTAAATGTTCTTCAACCTGTTTTGTTTTTGTTTCTGCCCGTCAGCTGGAGTTCTCTCCTCAGACACTGTGCTGCTATGGAAAGCAGCTGTGCACTATTCCCAGAGATGCTGCTTACTTCAGCTACCAGAACAGGTATGGAGGGAGTGAAATGCCCGTGTGATGAAGGGTGGAGGGACGACTAGATGGATGGATCAGTAAAAGAGGAAGGGATTATAATGGAGATGACTTGGGAAATGAGACTACCAATAACAAAAGCGCACATTGAACTGAATTGTCGTGAGGCAGATTAGTCTTCATCTGATTAATTTTGTTCCCCCAAACGCTTCCCTTCACTTCATGTTCCCCGTTTTTATACCTTCATGTGGTGCCTAAAGCACTGGCATTTTAACAGTCGGTCCTATCTGCTCGTATTCTTTAAGTCATTCTTGGTGTCATTAAACGGATCTATAAATAACACCTCAGTGCACAATGCTGGAAATTTCTTTTAAAAGAACATTTCTTTTTTCTCTAGTGCCATTTGAGCCTTTGCATAAAGTTATTTGGGTGTTTTTCTTTGAGGAACAAGCGGCAATAATGGACAAAAATCCTAACTTTGTTTTTTTCCAACATGGTGGTCCGCTCCTTTCAGATTCCACACATCATTTATTTTTAATTCTTCCTGTCGGATTTCACACACCCATGAAAACCTAATGTGAAAGGACCGACTTTAAAATGAACTGCTTGTATGAATGAACAGCTGAACAGTTGTCTGTGCCTACTTGGTCAGTGTGTGTATTATGTCCTGTTACCACATCACGTTTAGCTCCTGTTGATTCTGCTCCTGTTCCGTTAGCTCTGATGGTGGTGGTTGTTGCTCATCCTCTCGCGTCTGAACTGCTAAATCTGTGCTTTGCCTCGGCTCTCTGCTGTATGTTGTCTTGGACGTTCGTCTCGTCTTGTCCCTGGCTGTAATACCAACATTGGCTTGCTCTTTTTTTCCTTTAACAACCATGCGCTTCCAAAACCCATCCCCCATCCCCCCCCTCAAAATCATGACTGGCTGTTGCGATGACGACTTCCTGCTGTCCTGCGCTCCCACTTCCTGCTTGCCCATGTCCTGTACCGATTGGTGACTGCCCTCCCGTGCCGCTGTCTGTGATTGACTGTGCTGCGGGGAATGGTGTAGTTCACCAAAATTTGGGCTTGTTGCTGACAGGTACCACTTCTGCGAAAAGTGTTTCAACGAGATCCAGGGTGAGACGGTTTCCTTGGGCGACGACCCCACCCAGCAGCAGACGTGAGTATTAGTCTATTCAATAAGCAAGGCAACTCCAGCTAAAAGTCATTGTATCTATTTGAAAAGTGATCATCTTCTAGCCACATTCCTGACAGTATTAGCTACTTGTTTTCATTTTATTTTATTAGACAGTTAAACTTTTCCAGCAGGTACAGATGACGTAGCCTGTACACAACAGTTCTCTTGTTATTGCTGTATTTTAGGAAAGCTTCTATTGTAGGTTGTCAAATGATCGTATTAATATTCTATGATGTAATCACCCTACCAATGACATTGATCTCTTGCTGTTGTGCTTATAGATGTGATTTACTGTGTAGTTAATCGCTGCTGCACTGCCCCGTTGAATACAGGTGTGTGTCTCCCTTTGTGCGAGCCGGGAGAGCAAACAGTTTTCTGACTGACACCAACAAATACGGATTGCCGATGAATATTTCGTTAGATAAATACACGTTGTGAGTTTTGGAAATTATTACATCTAACTTTTTTTGAATGAATTTAAAGACTTATCGCTCTAGAGCTATTGGAAATGTTTAAATCAGGAGTTGGAAACAATCCTACGGACCCACAACTTGAATCCAATTCTAGAAATAGTGTAATATTAATGCTGAGTGTCCATATAGTGTTATTTCATTTTGGCAGTGCGACAGTCCACAGTGACGACACCAGTGCCTCTCTGTTGTTCTGCATATTGTAATACTCCCTCTTAATTCATTTCAGATCGATAAACAAGGAACAGTTTGAGAAGAAGAAGAATGACTCGCTGGACCCTGAATTGTAAGTTAACTGTCTGCTATTTGTCAAATATTAGCATTTGGGAAATAAGATGAAAGCTAATTATTTTCAAGGACTCATGTATGTAATGTGTATCTTCATCTCTGTCTCTCCTTTCAGGCTTGTTGAATGTATGGACTGTGGGCGCAGGATGCATCAGATCTGTGTCTTGCACCATGAAACAATCTGGCCATCGGGGTGAGTATCAATTTATAATTCCAGGTTTTCTGAAGGTTCGTGTGTAAGTCCTGATGTCATACGCAAAAAAGAAATTTGTTGTAATTAAAATTACCTTTTTTTTTTTTTCTTCATAGATTTGTATGTGATGGCTGCTTAAAGAAGACGAATAAGACCAGGAAAGAGAACAAGTATTCTGCCAAAAGTAAGTTGCAATGCATCTTGGGATTCTATTCCATTTTATCCTGGTTTTTTTTAATGCGTGGATACCCCTTTCATACAGGAAACTGATACTGAACTTGTGTTAATCCCTCATTTGACCTAATCAATCAATCAATCAATCAATCAATCAATAATAACTGCCTGTCGCACATTTATCCCATGTTGTCACCATTACAGACTCAATGTAACAAGTAAACCTATATTCATATCTGGATTCAACAGAATACCAAATCAGGTTTCTCATAGTTTATTCTTCTCCCTGCTGTTTTTAGCAGCTAAACTAAACAAAAAATGCTCTGCTCTCCCCGATTCAGGGTTGCCCCAGACAAAGTTGGGCAGTTACCTGGAGATACGGGTGAATGACTTCCTGAAACGTCAGACCCACACGGGCGCTGGAGAAGTCTTCATTCGCGTCGTCCACGTCTCTGACAAAGTGGTGGAGGTCAAACCAGGCATGAAGTCCAGGTACAAGACATCCCAGTCTAGTGTGCTGCTTATAACCACATTTGTGTTTCAAATACATGAACAGATTTAGCAAAAGTTCAAGCCTGTGTCACCATTTATCATGAAACACGATTGGTTTTTTTTTTTAACAGAATTTTATGTCATTTTTCGAAGAAATGTTTTAGTATTCAGAATCAAATCAAATATTTGCTTGACTTGAAATTGAGATCGCGGTACAGGGTAGCTGGCTAATATTTGATCAATGCAGGTATGTCTTCTGTTGTTCTATTTTACAGTCGGTAACTTTAGATGTTTTATGTTTCCGTCTCCAGATTTGTGGACAGCGGAGAGATGTCGGAGTCCTTTCCATACAGAACGAAAGCCCTTTTTGCATTCGAGGACATTGACGGAGCAGACGTCTGCTTCTTTGGTATGCACGTCCAAGAGTACGGATCTGACTGCCCTCAGCCCAACCAGAGGTAAGGACGTCACTATGTTAGAAACATTAGAAGTGCTGTCTGTTTTTCTTCTTGTGTATGGAATGATTTTTGAAAAGATCTGTTATAATTTACATTTCTCTGTTGCGATATATGAATATTTCCTCTTTCACCCACTCAGGCGAGTATACATCTCCTACCTGGACAGTGTACACTTCTTCCGGCCTCGCGGTTTAAGAACGGCAGTCTACCATGAAGTCCTCATTGGCTACTTGGAATATGTCAGGAAGTTGGGGTGAGTGCTGCTGCTCACAGATCATTTATTTTGGTCATAAGTATGTGAATGAAAATTGATATCTGCCATGTCCTATCACAAAGCTTACTTTTAAGTCTGTAAATTAATTTAGCTTATTGTGTACGGCCTCTCGTATGTCCTCCTCAGCTACACCACTGGGCACATCTGGGCCTGCCCACCAAGCGAAGGGGACGACTACATCTTCCACTGTCACCCTGCAGATCAGAAGATCCCAAAGCCCAAACGCCTCCAAGAGTGGTACAAGAAGATGCTAGACAAGGCTGTGGCAGAGCGGATAGTGCACGATTTCAAGGTAGCGAGGCAGTATTCATCTTTATTCCTGTATGTGTTGGAGGAATGGTACTTTTTGAGATTGTTAACGGTAGAGCTTATAGGAATGACTAGTTTGGATACTATCGTTGTAAAACACTAACTTTATTTTCCAATTTACTCCAATAGGATGTCTTCAAGCAGGCGACAGATGATCGATTGACCAGTGCCAAGGACCTACCTTACTTTGAGGGAGACTTTTGGCCCAATGTGTTGGAGGAGAGCATCAAAGAGCTGGAGCAAGAGGAGGAGGAGAGGAAAAGAGAGGAGAACAGCACGTCCAATGAGAGTATTGATGTAAGAATGCTACGATCTGTCAATGAGTTGATATATACTGTATATATTTAGCTGTGTGAGAGAGGGGCTGGGGGAAAAAGGTTTCAGCAGTATGTAATCACCTGAGCTTGTTATCAGGTAAATATTGATATTCCTTTTCTTTGTTGTGCAGGACACAAAAGGTGACAGTAAAAATGCAAAGAAGAAGAACAACAAGAAGACGAGTAAGAACAAGAGCAGTCTGAGCCGAGCCAATAAGAAGAAGCCAGGGATGCCCAATGTCTCCAATGACCTTTCGCAGAAACTCTATGCCACTATGGAAAAACACAAAGAGGTAAGAATTTTTCCCTCATACTTATTTAAATGCGTGCATATTATCATTCTCAAGGAATTTACTGAAGGAGTGGAATGCGTGGACTGGAGAAAAGCTCAATTATTGATTGGATTTGCAAGATTTTACTGAATTCTCACACAAAGTGGAATTGGTTTTTAAAAGACCACATTTCCCATGTCCCCTCATCTGTTCGCCCCTCTCGTTTCCTGTTCTAGGTGTTCTTCGTGATCCGGCTGATCGCAGCACCCATGGCAAATGCATTGCCCCCTATTTCGGACCCGGATCCCCTGATGGCATGTGACCTCATGGACGGCCGTGACGCTTTCCTGACATTGGCCCGGGACAAGCACCTGGAGTTCAGCTCACTGAGGCGGTCCATGTGGAGCTCCATGTGCATGTTGGTGGAGTTGCATAACCAAAGCCAGGACCGCTTCGTCTACACTTGTAATGAGTGCAAGCACCACGTGGAGACTCGTTTCCACTGTACCGTCTGTGAGGTGAGTAGGGGGAGGGTAGTTCTGGTGGTAATGACAAAAATAAACATGTACTTTATTGGACTTATTATGTTGATATAGAATCTGTTATGTATCGTCTAATCAACTATTATTCATGCCATCCCCCACAGGATTACGACCTCTGCATCACGTGTTACAACACTAAGGGCCACGTGCACAAGATGGAGAAGTTAGGCCTTGGTTTGGATGATGAGAGCAGCAACCAGACTGCCGCAACCACCCAGAGCCCCGGAGACTCCCGTCGCCTCAGCATCCAGCGCTGCATCCAGTCCCTCGTCCACGCCTGCCAGTGTCGAAACGCAAACTGCTCTCTGCCGTCCTGCCAGAAGATGAAGCGCGTTGTTCAGCACACCAAAAGCTGCAAGAGGAAAACGAACGGTGGCTGTCCCATCTGCAAGCAGCTCATCGCCTTGTGTTGCTACCACGCTAAGCACTGTCAGGAGAACAAGTGCCCGGTTCCGTTCTGCCTGAACATCAAGCACAAGCTCCGCCAGCAGCAGCTGCAGCACAGACTCCAGCAAGCCCAGATGCTACGGAGGAGGATGGCCAGCATGCAGAGGGTGGGCCAGCCTGCTCCGGGAGGAGCTCCTGGGGGAAATGGCCTGCCTTCTCCGGGACCCAATACGGCTCCTGGTACCCCTACGTCTGTGGGCACGCAGCCGCCTACGCCACAAACGCCCACCCAGCTGAACATGCCTGCCCTTTCTCAGCAGCAAGGAGTTGGGATGGGTGGGATGGGAGGAATGGGATCACCAGGCCAGCAACAGCAGGTTCAGCAACAAGGTGGTGCCATGCCCCCTCAACACCATCTGCATCAGTTTCAGCAGGTGGGAGGAGCAGGTGGAGGGGGGATGATGAACTCTCCTCAGCAGCAGATGGTGCCTCAGCTCCAGCAGCAGCCTCCCAATGTCCAGCAGCAGCACCCTGGTAGTTTGCCTCCATACAACCCCAGACCGCCTGGGGCTTCCCCTCTCCATCAGTCGCTGGGCAAACCTGGCCTGGGTCCAGCCACCCCACCGCAGCAGCAACAACCCAACCAGGGCCAGGGGCCCATGCCTGGTCAAGGCCAGCAGCAAGGGCCCCCTCTGGCTGCTGTAGAGACGGCCCTAAAGATCCAGCGCCTGGCAGAGACCCAAAGACAGATGGCTCAGGTCCAGGCTCAAGCCCAGATACGTGGCTTGGGACAGGGGGGCATGATACCCCAACATCCCCACCACCAGAACACCCAGGCCCAGATGGGCATGCCCCACATTGGGGCCCAGGGCATGTCCCCCCAGGCTCAGGGAGTTGTTGGCAGGACTATGTTAGACCCACAGCAACAGGGAATGCTAGCGGGGATGCAGCAAGGCGGCCCTCAGTCGCAGTTGCCACCTCAAGTCCAGCAGCAGCTCCAGCAAGTCCAGCAGGGAGGTGGTGGACAACTTCAGCAAGCAAACCAGCAGTGGGGTGCTAGCGGTCCAGCCATGAACCCACAACAAAGACCAGGCATGATGGCTCACATGGCACCACAACAGCAGCCAGGAGTTGCTCAGCAGCAGCAGCAGCAGCAAATGAATCAGCAGCAGCCGCAACCAGGAAACCGTGGGATGATGCAAGTAATGGGTGTACCAGGAGGGGCAGCAGGGGCACCGAATTCATTAGCAGCTGCAGCTGCGTCAGGAAGTCTTCCCCAGGCAGCACTACAAGACCTCCTGAGAACGCTGCGCTCTCCAAGCTCACCCCTTCAACAGCAGCAAGTCCTCAACATCCTTCGTTCCAACCCGACCCTCATGGCTGCTTTTATCAGGCAGAGAGCAGCCAGGTATCAAGGTGGTCCGGGTAACCCTGGAGGAGGAGGAGGGCCTCCACAAGGGGGCCCTGGAGGTGTGAGGTTCCAAGGGGCTGCTGGAGCTGGAGTGCTGCCTGGTGTAGGAGGGCCTGGGGTTAACCAACTTGCTAACATGGATGGACAACAGCAGGTCAACGTGAGCCAGCCAGGGATGAACATTGCTCAAGGTGGAGCAGGGGGAGGGAATATGCCCACCATGGCTCAGCTTCAGCAGTTACAACAACAGCAGCAGCAGCAGCAGCAACAGCAGCAACAACAACAGCGCCCAATGTTGCCTGGCAATCTACAACAACAGCAAATGGCTGCATTACAGCAGCAGCAGCAGCAACAACAACAACAACAACAACAGCAACAGCAGGGAGCAATGCAAACAGGGCAACAAGGCAGCATTACCAATATGACTCCGCAGTTCAGAGAGCTGTTGATGAGAAGACACCTGCAGCAGCAGCAGCAGCAACGACAGCAGCAGCAGCAGCAGCAGCAACAACAACAACAACAACAACAACAACAACAGATGGGAAACCACGGGCAGTTCCAGCAACCTCAAGGACTCCAACAGCAGCAAGGCCAGCAAGGTTTCATGCAGCCTGGCCAGGGACAGCCAGGGATGCCCCCCTCGTCCCAACCCCAGCCTGGGGGTGGAGGCGTGGGGGGTCCCCAGCAGCAGCAGGGAGGACCACAGGCTGGGCCGGGACAGCTAGTCCCGCAGCAAGGCTACTCCAACTCCATGTCACAAGTAGCTGCAGCGCTCCATCAAAGGCTCCAGCATCAGATGCAGATGCAGCAGCAGCAGCAGCAGCAGCAGCAGCAACAAAATTCAATGGGTGGGCTTCAAGGACAAGACGGAGGGCCCGGTGGAGGCACGGGAATACCAGGAGGGCCTCCGCTCCAGCCTGGACAAGGCGGACCAGGGCAGGGGCAGCAACAGCAAGGTGGTGGAGGGGGTGGCGGGCCCCCACCGCCACAGACGCCCCAAAGCATGCTTCACCAGAACATCCACCAGAGGCTCCTGCAGCAGCAGCAGCAGCATCTTGGTGGGGGCTCTCCAGCCCAGCACAGCAGTCCCATGAGTCCCCAGCAGCAGATGGCGCAGTCCCCCCACCCCCACCACCAAGGACAAGGAGGACTAGGTCCAGCAGGGTCGCTCAGCAGTCAGGTCAGGTCGCCGCAGCCTTCGCCAAGGCCGCAGTCGCAGCCTCCGCACTCCAGCCCGTCCCCACGCATGCAGCCCTCCTCCCAACCTCAGCCCTCACCTCACCGCATCTCCCCGCAAACCGGCTCGCCCCACCCGGGCCATCTAGGCCAACATCACCCCAGTATGGCGCCACCCCAGCCCCCACAACCCCAACAGCAAGCATTGTCTCAGCAGCAGCCGGGTAGTTCGGTAGATCCCGGTCAGTTCAGCTCGGACCAGAACTCCATTATGTCTCAGCTGAGTGGGATGACGGGGATGCATGGCGGGCCGGGAGGTCAGTCGGACATGTTGGGTGGGAATAACAACAACAGCAGCAGCAGCAGCAGCAACAACCAGGAGCTTGGAACGAACCCTAACCACAACAGTTTAGACCATATGTAGCCTTGACTCCATACTGTCTCTCTGTCTTGATGCTCTGATCAGTTGCCCCCAAATGACAAACTGCCATGAAAGGAGAGCGAGGCGGGACTACTGCTTTTGGGGTTTTAGAAGTTTTTATTTTTTATTTAAATATTTTTGTGATGTATAAATAAGAACTGAAGCTTCCTTCCTATGGGAGATGCAACATAAATCTTAGAAGTCAATAAATGAATAAATTAAAACAATGGTAAGTTATTGCTGTTAATATATATCTATATATTTTTGCCAATTGTGTACAAAAAGGTGGAAGGGCAGTGTTTCAGGTTGAAGATATTTCTTCCTTAGTCTATGACACAATATTTTTGGGGACTGAGAATTTTGCCTTTTTATGAATATTTTTAAGATTTTAAATGTGGCTAAAAATTAAAGTTGACACGATGTACCTTTTTTATTGTTTTGTTTTCCTCCTCAAATACCCAGTCATAATTGTATCTATATTGCAGAGAGTAAGTATATTTTATTTCTGAATTTATTGTTTTTTTTTCTTCCCTTAATGGATCGTCATACAAGCATCAACATATCTTCTGTTGCAGGAATCCATTTTCACATCGATGTACATTTTACAGCGACTGCAACAATTCATATATATAGAATTTATTTTATATGATGGGTGGGTGGGTGCGTTAAATGCAGTTTGATTTTGACAGGTTTCCTAGTTAGTTTTCTTCTTGTTTGTTTGTTTTTCACCAGGTTTCTAGGTTTGAATTAAACCTCAGTGTTTTTGAGGGAGTGGGACACTGACTGTGGGTTTGGTTCTATGTTTTCTGCAACAACAAAAAAAATGGCCAGATCCGCAGAACAAATCCTTGCACCCATGGGCCACCTCTCCACCCTCCATGTCCTATGAATGTGCACCACACCTTCCTTATCCTGACTCTCCCCCCCCCACCCCCGATGAACTGTTGATGTCCACTCTTCTCGCTGTCAAGAGGAATATTGTGCCACTGTTGCCGATATTCAGAGGTTGCGCGTGTACATAATATTACAGCCTTGTTTATGAACTGTGACGTGGAGAAGAGGTCGATAAAGTTGTCTGTGTTTTGGGCTGCAGAGGTTTCAGAAAGATCCAGCCTGTATCCCACCCCAATGGTTTCTCTTTCAGTACTTTTGTTCCTCATCCTCATGACTGTCCCGCAACCACAGGATTTAACTCAATGTTAGTACTGTACAAAGTAAGAGATGGTGGACTTAGATACTGTTTTTGTAATGAAAGTTAAACATGTAAAAAAACAAACGACTGTACATACTTTAAGTACCTTACGAGCAGATCAATTATTTTCTGCTGCTTGTTTCCCCCTCTTGTTTGATTGGATATTTGCTGTATCTGTTAAAAAAAAAAAAAAAAAAAAGACAAAAAAACAACTACAAAAGTACTCCTGAGCTACTGTACAGTATTGAGATTCTTTTCTAAAAGGTACAGTGTAGGGTGTGGTAGGTCACAAGCACCAATGCGCCTTTTCTGTGTATTTTTGACAAGGTTTTCGGGAGGGAGGGGTTATCGCAACAAGTCACACACCTGAACAATCTGAAAAGTTAAGACGTGAACCTGCACGATGTTGGGAGACGAGACCAGGTTGATTTAGAGGTGTGATCTGAAAGAGTTTAAATTTGGTCATTTAGCTTTTTATGGAGAGGACACAATATTCACATGCTCACTATTTTTCTCAAAAGGTTGGGCTTGCTGGGTATGGGGGAGGGGACGCATCAGAACCAGGTGGCAATATATCTCGAGACTTATTTTATAAGAAAAAAACAAGGAAAAACTGTCTTTTATATATAGATATATTATTTAATTTTATTTTTTGGAAATAAAACTTGAAGCTACAGGAATTATTAGATAAAAACATGTTTTTGTTTTGTATTAAAGATGTTATGGTGATGCAAAAAGACACTGCAGACAGTCGTTCAGTTTGCCCTGGGGGAGGCCGGGGAGTATATTATACCATCCTTTTTCAGAAGTGTTTCATGTACATGAATATAGTTGTAAACATACTGAATCACTGTACAAACTGATGGCAACTGAACAAATAGTTTTGTTTTTAATCATTTCTTCTCCCAAAAAGAGACTGGAAATAAGACTATTTAAATATTTGTTTAGTATTCAAATGGAATCTTTGACCACTTTTTCGTTCCTCTTGTTAACAATTTTTGGTGCTTGCTGAGAGAAAGCAAAAATAACTATTGCTCCATTTTCATTAGTTTCTTTTTTTTGTTTTTTTTTCTTAAGTTATTTTGGTGGTCTGATTGTTTTTTTGCCAATAAATTAATTGTACAATAAAGTATGTTTGTACCATTGGAAAAATACTCAATTGTTGCTTTGTTTTTCACTTTTTCGTACGATATTTTCTGCAGACGAATAAATGAATATATAACACACATCTGAGCACCGCTTGATGGAAATTCATGGTATTTGTAATTTAAGTTTTACATTTTCTTATTATGCAATTAGTTTGAATTACAACTGTGTTTACCTCACCCTTCCACTAATATCTCCAAATATATTATAACTCATTTTTGACACACACGACTGCATTAGTGACTAGAAACAAGGATCTTTGGAATGTCAATAAGTAACCGAACAAGTGATTACAATAATATTAAACATGAGCAACATTTATTTGAGTTATTCCCATAGAAATATTCTATACACACAGTGACACTTGTTGGACTGGAGCAGCTGATGTGCAGGTTAATGTCTCAGTAAAGTGCGAGGTCCTTCGCTCGGTGAAGCGGCACAAGCGACCATATTAGGCGCCATCCGATATCCCGGTGCTTGTTCTGTCGGCTCGATGGGTATCACAAACCGTATAAAAAAAACTATTCTGCTCAGTCATCTGCGTGACAAATACACAGGTACCGTTAAAGAATAAATATACATTCAGGTCAATGTAGAAAAATAACGACATGTACTGTCCCCTCCATCTTCTTCCCCTGTAAAGTCTGCTCATATTTCAAGTCTTAATAGCATCAGTGCAGAGCATTCAGGCATAACAGAGACCAAACAAGCTGGGGGAGTAACTGTGAATGTGTGTGTGTAAAGGGAAGAGAGGGAGAGAGAGGGAGACATTAGCCCTAAAAGCTCCACAGACAAAACAACAAAATTATGCAACATCAGGCACTTCCGTTCCCTGCAGCTTCATTGTCACACGGAGACAGTTTGGAGATCACGAGACGCTGACCCGTCGTCCTCAGCGCGGAGTAAACAACTTTGCGGACCAATGGGACGCCACTAGTTCAGGAGATTCAACGGACATGACACATCACATCAGCTCCTGTGTCCACTGGGCAGGAAGCCAGCAGGGTTAGACCGATGCTCCGGGTTCAGAGCTGGGCTTTTATGTATTAAAAATCTTTTGATATTGGTCTTTTCAGAGTTTATCGAAGGCCACAGTTACATGAGATAAGTCTGTAAAGATGAAAATGTTTCCCTTTCAATAGATGTAATTTGTATGATTTATTTAAATGGTAATCTGGTCTTTACGCACATTAGTCAGTTTCCCGTGTTTTAGACCATTAACTACAATTTGCATATGCTTCGTGAATTTCATACTTTCCAGGCCGCAACAGGTTTGTTTATTTCAGATGGAGTTCTCAGTTGTCATGAAAAAGTAGATTTTAAAATGTCTGATATCTCATTTTTATACTAATAATATCTAAATCTATTGGTATGTCTGTCATCATAATCTATTAATCTATTATCCTTTTACTTGATTCTCATGCCACAATAACTTGAGACATGTAACATCGCCCAGTGAACATTCACTTGCTCCGTCTCTTTCAGCCCACCTTACATAATCAAATGATAATTCAGTGCTATGAGGGGACTGTTTGGCAGTCCTTGTCGGTGCATTCAAGTGTCTCTGGGAATTTCACGTCCCATGCTTAGAGCAGTGGTTCTTGACTATTGTCTATTTGTCAGCCCTTAATGGATACATTCACATGTAACATAATCTCTTTTCAGATCTCAGGATCTCTTAATTGCCAGTATGAACATTGAATGATTACGTTGACACATCGTTAGCTGTGATATGTTGCCAACGAGTTATCGGGAAGGTAGGAAATCAATGATATTGATGTATTGATATCTTTTATCAGACAGGGTGTGATTTACCGCATCGGTCAAACTCTACAAACAGGCTCCTGATGGACACACAGACCCTCATGATGTACAGCAAATACAGTGCAATTCCATAGTACATTATCTTATCAAGTCACATCTAGTTTCTTGATTGTGGTGCGAGTCATTACTTGTATATTGTACGTTGTGAGATGCTGAGTCTATAGGTAAACGGAGAAAACTACAGGCCGTCTCTGCATTGATATATCTGCACTGGAGGAGAAAGGCATGCAGGCGGATCAAATCATCTCCCAAAAAGGATTTTTTTTTTGAAACACATACAAGACTAAGCTACGTGTCGTACGGTAGTAACAGTCTTATGTGTTCACAGGTACAGCACTGCTCGTTAGTATGGGTACAATACGCACTGAATGGTTAGCTTAGTGTGGAAGAGAGACGGACACGGCGGCCATGTTTACATGCACAGAGACCTCTTCCTCCTCTTCTTCACAATTCCTCACTTCACGTAATTTGTGCCCATCGCACAAACTGAGAGCGTGAGAGGAGATAATAACATGAACATGTTCATGCATGAGGCTTATCCTGTTAACCGTTCTTAAAGGTTAAAGGTTGTGGACCACTAGTAACGCTCTGGAGCAATGTTTTGATTTTCATGTTTCAAACATGGATGTGTGCAATGCAGGGCACCATTCATAAACATAAAATAAAAAAAGGGCTTTACAAATGTTTTTTTGAGGAAGGAAATGCGTTAGACACATGTTTGTGAGACCTCAAGAAACATAACTGATTGTTAAGAAGCAAACTCTCCGGGGTACCTTTAAGGTGGAAGAGTTAAGACCCATGACATATGAAAAGATCATATACCGGTCACATTTGCACATTTAAACCAATATTAACAAATCACTTAACTCAGCTACTTTGTCACATTTTCAACAGTTGCACAGTGGAAGATTTTAGCGGCCTTCAGCTAACCCGAGTACTGCTAACTGTAAGTGATTCTCAGCCAAAGTGTACAGCCTAACCTACATCGGGCAGTCATATATGAGCCACAGCTCCACGTACGTCCAGGTGACTGTGCATGTAAACGTACCACCGGCCAGGCTGGAAGTAGCAGGAACAAGGGGAAGAATAGGCCGAGAGGGAATAAAGACACCAACCCTGTCCACATCAACCGGTGCCTCCCCTCTCCCTGTGCCCTCCCCCCACCCAACCCATTCAAACGTCACACATCAGACCTACTGGCCCCAGTCTCTGAAGAAGCCCTTGGGCACCCTCGACTCTCGGAAGGTCACCGTGAGGGAGTTGAGGGTGACGTCTGTGACCGTCACCTCCCCCGGGCCGAGGACGGGCCTCCAGACGTCGTCCGGCTTCTCCGACGCGGTGACCTCGCCCGGTCCAACGGCGGAGCTCCACCCGTCTGTCCTCTCCTGTCCTGGGTGAGACAGGAACACAGAGAGAGGAAGACGGAGGGCAGATAGAGAAGGTAGAGTGATCGCATCGAGCCTATCTCTCGTGTGTGCTGTTATTGAGTCAACCTGCCTGGATCCTCTCTGCTCTGAAAGACGTTATGTACTGACAGAGGGCAGACGTTTGGCTGCAGGAACAGACGTCTCTGAGGAGTGTCACATTCTCCACTCCACGTCCTCATTGTGGGACGATTTAGTGACGTCTCACCTTTGAAATCATTCAAATGTATTTTACTACTGTCTTGTAACACAATTAATTTATTCAAAGATTTACATCTGGTGTCAAACTTTCAAGCAAATGGATGTTACATTATGGGACAGACTGCAGATCCTATCGGCTTTACATCGACATGCACAACAGAGACTTCAAATACACAATCTTTAGTGAGTCTACGGTTTCTCTTTAATCAGCTCAGGATGGAGGAAGTTCCGTGTTTTTGGTTGCGTGCCTGGTGGAAGAAAAGCCTGTGCGCGGCCGTGCCTACAAGCAGTAAAGTGGGTCGTGACGGTGATTAGAGTCCACTGGCTGACCGACTGACACACTTACCATTTAAAGGGCCTCCGCTCTTCTCTATCGTCTCCTTTAGAGCCTCCTCTTTCTCCTCCTCCTCCTCCTCCTCCTCCTCCTCCTCCTCCTCCTCTCCATCCTCTCCACTTTCTACATTGTCCTCCTCCTCCTCCTCTTCTTCCTCCTCCTCCTCTCCCCGGCCTTCCCAGTCCTCCTGTGTGGGACTCGGAGGGTTCGAGTCCAGGCACGTGTACGGCGACCTCCTGGGTTCGCTCTCTCGACGGGCCAGTAGTGGGTCCGGCTCATCCTCATCCTCATCCTCGTCCTCGGGGAGCAGAGAGCGCGACAGGGAGAGACGCAGGCGGGGCGGAGGCTGCTCCGGAGTCTTGTGAGCGCTGCGGAGATCCATGGTGTAGACAGTATCCTGAGAGAGAGGAAGTGTAAACCGAATGATTTCAGTAACACTCTGCACTGGTTATCGAGGAGCATAACCACTGGACAGGGACCAACAAAGTAACGGGAAAGGCAAACCTAGTTAACAGTAATGTATTAAGTAACGTAGATTGGACAAAACTTTCACTCTTCAACTTGTTTGTGTTGAACTCCAAACTTTACCTGCAGAATGAGTCTTTTGGCTTTGGATCCTTTTCTCCGGTGGCCCAGAGCTCTCTCTCTCTGCTCTCTAAAAAAACAAGACCAGCACACACTGTTAAAAAGCAGCGGACGGCAAAGTGACACTTTTTTTTTTTTGCAGTCCCATAACAGTGCCCTATGGAGTTTTTGACCACTAGTAGCACCATGGAGCAGTGTTTCACTGACCCACAGGTGAGGTAACATGACAAAAACCACGACAATGCACCAGCACAGGCAGAGAAGAAGACTGCTAGTGGGTGAAACACTGACGTCAACAACGCAGGTTTATAAGTTCAAATGTTTGCGTCAAAACAATCGAACAGCCTCAAGCAGCGTCTTGTCGTCGGGCAGGTGTTACGTGTGGAGTGGAGCCTTACTTCTCTTCGTAGGCCTGCACCAGGCGCTGGTCCAGAATGTGCTCCTCGGGTTCCCATGTGCTGTACCTGCGACAGGTTACACAAAAATTGCGTGGTCCGTTAGTGCAGTATAGTTGAATAACGATTGGTTAGCACTTTGGTACCAACCTGAACATATTATGACATGTATTATGACACAGCTGTCCATACTGTTATATATTCCGCCCATCCTTCGGATTAAGGTTACATACTTACTTTGGAGGCCACCCTTTCCACTTCAACAGATACTCCACATTCCCCTGTGAAGACACAACGTTTGTGAGTGGTATCAGCCAAGAAGTTCATTTTACAAATGACATCACAGAATATATTGTAGCTGTGTTTCTTTTTAATCAGCTACTGGAGCTGCTTCAATCAACACGCCTACGAGACCACGTGTGATGTCTCAGACACCACAGATCAGAGGCCGATGAGGGTATTCAGGACGACAATGATTACTTGCTGAAGGTCACATTTTTCCTCCATCTTCCCATCAAGCTGATGTCTATATTCCATCATAGTCTTGCTGTTGATTGGAGGAAGTTCCCATGCCATCAGACAACATCCATACTTAACAGATAACGTGAAACGTCTCATGTGTTGTCCATGTACAAGCCAAGTGAACTCAGAGTTAGTCATCCGCGGTGACATCATCCGATAATAACTTCCGAGCTCTCAAAGGTGTCCTCAGCAGGTGAAGTCACCACTTTTCCCCGACTTCCTTTTACTCACCCAGTTCCCCCTTGTTACAGTAAAAAAGGGCTTAAAATGAAGTGCCCATATCCTCCATAAGCAATGTAGTTTGACCTGTAAAGCATGTAAATATCCTGCTGTTTTAGGGTAATTAATTAGTGGTCATATGGCACCTTTCACAGAAATATTAGGGTATAACCCAATACTCTATCTGACACTTTTACAGTTAGCAGCAACATGAGTAGACATGTTTGAGATGTGGATGGACCGATATAGTCCACTGTGTACTACAAGTGGTTGTAACACTGGCCTATGTATATTCTGTCTCTATAAACTCTCACTTCACACTCTCTATACTGAATATCAAACCATTTATAGAGACAAATGAAATAGAAGTTCAAATTAGCAGTATCCTTCTACTCTACTCACTAAGATTATATATACGTGTTTATTGAATACTTTATATATATATATAATATTTTCAACTTGGGCACCCTCCCTCAGCATCTCATAGTCATTGGAAAACTCGGGTATCACATGGAGCATACTTCAAAATTAGAGTATTTTGACCGTCCCAACAAATTCAAACAGTTAACGTGAGATTATTCATAGCAGCAAACTTCTAGTAAACTGAGGAGTTCCAGGGGCCCCTCGTGCGCTCTTGGGCAACGATCAATCCTAGCTGCGCGCCTGCATCTGTCAACACCAGATGGTAACGCACACTCGACCCCAATTAGCAGGCAAACAGGCCCAGAATGAAGGGTGTTTGGTTAATAACACCGTCATCATCTCTGCGTATTTATCCAAACACATGGCATTGTAACGCCGTGGTGCAATGACAACACTCTCAACGTTACATTGAAGGAACATCCCCCTTTTACGCAGCCTGCAATTAGATAACCAGATTAGTCGCGCAATTCTGTTCTTTTAATCTCTCAAGGTTTCATTAGCATACAACGTAGCATCCTTTCCTCCCTAATGAACTAAAATGTGTCTCCCACAAAATGCCGACAAAGGACTGATCCACGTTGGCAACATTTTAAAAGGTTACCTTCTTAACTCTTTTCTTGACGATGGACTCCACGGCAAACACTTGCTCTCCAATCGCAGACAGCTCCATCTCCGTGCGCGCAGCGGTCCTTCGGCTCGTACCGTTCAAAGTAAAACGTGTTTCTCCTACGCGAGCTAAGCAAACGTTCACGGTTGTGACAGCGGCCGCTCGTGTGTTTTCCCGACAGTTTTGAGGGCCCGTTTAACCGGAGCGGCTTCCTTCAGCTGCGTCTCTCCGCGCGTCCGGTGACTTTACAAAATCTGCGACACATCTGCACACCGCTTCGCTCGCGCGCGCCCGAATCCCGAAAGCGCGCTCCCCCCCCTTTTTCCAACGAGTCCGCGGCTCGCAACCAGCTGCCTAATAGGTCATAGAGTGTATGGATGGAAACTTAAAAAAATAATAATTCTACAATGTGAGCAAACTGTTACAAGTAAAAGTCTAGTAGTAGAAGAAAAAGTAGACCGTATCAAAGCAGAATGGCACCTGTGACTGATGTAGTCCTATCGTTACATACAGTGGGTACGGAAAGTATTCAGACCCCTTTGAATTTTTCCCTTTGTTTCATTGCAGCCATTTGCTAAAATCAAAAAAGTTCATTTTATTTCTCATTAATGTACACTCAGCACCCCATCTTGACAGAAAAAAACAGAAATGTAGAAATTTTTGCAAATTTATTAAAAAAGAAAAAGTGAAATATCACATGGTCATAAGTATTCAGACCCTTTGTTCAGTATTGAGTAGAAGCACCCTTTTGAGCTAGTACAGCCATGAGTCTTCTTGGGAATGATGCAACAAGTTTTTCACACCTGGATTTGGGGATCCTCTGCCATTCTTCCTTGCAGATCCTCTCCAGTTCCGTCAGGTTGGATGGTGAACGTTGGTGGACAGCCATTTTCAGGTCTCTCCAGAGACGCTCAATTGGGTTTAGGTCAGGGCTCTGGCTGGGCCAGTCAAGAATGCTCACAGAGCAAAAATGCAAAAATTTCTACATTTCTGTTTTTTTCTGTCAAGATGGGGTGCTGAGTGTACATTAATGAGAAATAAAATGAACTTTTTTGATTTTAGCAAATGGCTGCAATGAAACAGAGTGAAAAATTTAAAGGGGTCTGAATACTTTCCGTACCCACTGTATGACATTATTACATTGGTAACACTATGATAAATTAAAATGTAGCATTTCACTGTAGTAGTAGTAGAGGTGGAGCTTACTATTTGAGTCTATACAGTGTTTCCCAACCTAGAGGCCGGCCCCCTCCAACGGGTCACAAGATAAATACAAGGGGTCGGGGGAGATGATTTAAAGGGCATGAAATATGCCTCACAATTCAGAATTCACTTTTCAGAATGAAAACATTTTAAAAGTTTAGAAGACAAATCGATCTTTGGTGGAAATACGAACGATCATAAACGTATAAACATCTGACATGTGGCAAGGGGCCCCAAACAGACATGTTTATTACATTTTGTATTGGGGCTCACGAGCCAAATATGTTGAAAACCATTTTATTTTTTATGCTTTTCGTGTTTTATTTTCCTCTGAAATGTGTTATAAAATAAAAACACTGAAGTAAAAGTGCAAGAACCTCACAATTGTATCGGGGTACTTGAGTAAAAGTGCTGAATTTACTTTCCACTACTGACCAAAACAGGCTGGAAAAAAGATGACATTCGGCTTCATATGCTCAGGTGACCCTTTCAAAGCAATTAATACACCCACACTGTAGCTTATACATAAAGTGCCATGAAAAGCATTTTATTTCTATGCAAAAAAAACAACAAAAAACACAGTGACAATCAGGATTTCCTCAAGTAGGAGGGGCAGGATGGATTGTCATGGCAGAACCAGCACACATTGAATGTGATTGTGAGACACTCGTCATGATGCGATCGGGTCCAAAGAATCTCAGCAAAGTAGCGACAGATGTTTCGATGCAGGCTCACTTAGTTATAATATGACATTAAAAAAGGTCTACAGATTGGGCTGGAATCGAAGTGTGTCATTCCTAAATAAGACATGCACCATTGAAAAAAACATCTGTATAAAATCATAGTATTTCAAACACCTGTAAATAACGTAAAGCCCTTGGCTGCCAAAGTGAACAAATTCTACTCAATGAGCTTCAGCCGTTTCTCTTCTATATACGATAAATTGGTGCTTTGGATTAAATCTCTTGAAATGGCATCAAACTGCACAGCTCCCCTCTTCACCTTTCAGAGGAACAAATATCTTTTTTTTCTTTTATGTAAACAAGTTAAGGCCAATATCGTCTTGAAGAGACAATACCTACAGTATCAACAGTTCCTCTTAAGCTGATAGATTTGAAAGCTACAAAATCTCTCAACAGGCTCGTTTCAAAAACAATCAACCACAACACACCTCTTGGCTGGAGATGCGCTCACTAGCCAGCTCGGCGACTTTTCTTTACTTTTCTTTCCACGTTTTCTTCTCTACGGTATTCTCTACCCGAGGCACACTGCGCTCCGTTTCCCCTCCTTCTCAAACTGGACAACTTCCCTTCGATCGACCGACCTTCAAAACCTTCTCCTCAGACTGACAGCTCACACGTTACGGACCCCTCGCTGACCGTCTGTGACGCCCTCTCAGAGGAGGAGGCCTGTATCCGCTCAGCTCCTGTGCTACAGAGGGCTGCTGTGGTGGTGGCCCTTTGGACCAGGGTGAAGCCATTAAATATGAAATAAAAATGAATAAATATCATCATCCCCTGTGGTGCATCCTTATTTTGTCTACTGTGGGTGATGAGGACAAATTAAACAATCTTTCTTTACATTGATATGACAATATGCAACATTAACTCATTAACTAGTCAGATTATAATTGACAAGATAAACTGATCTGGAGTTTTGGACCTTATCATAGAGTCCTTAGTCTGCTGATGAGGACCGTGTGATGCGGTCGAAAGCTCCGGAACAATCTAGTAAGTACACTTTGAGTTGAGACGGTTTTGTCGACTGTTTTTTTTCCAAAGTCCAAAAATGAACTGAAGCTGAACTTGGTTAAATACCAAGTCACGGCCAATTCCTGTAATTTCTGTAATGTTTGATTTTGATGAATAATTTAGACAGCAGGTTTTCTTATCACCCTAATCTGATTGGTACATCATATAATGATACAGTATTATTCTACTCAGAGATGATAGACTTTGGTTTTGTATTATTTCCTCGAGGACAAGCGCTCTTCATTACCACCAAGTAATTATTTGAACAATAACAAAAAAAGCTGGATGAATGATGCCGTTACTTTTTCCTTGAAATGAAACGGAGGCAAGCATCCACCAGATGGAGTGCTCGGCCCGGGCGTTGCATTGCTTCGTTGCATATAAACCTGTTGCGTCTGCACAGCCCCGGTACAGTACAGGCTCACACTGTGCCACAACGTGTTTGGTAAGGGGATGGAATACAAAGTTGGCAACATGAGAAATCACTGATTTTGTTTGACCTGTGATATGAAGAGGGGGCCGAGGAGGAGGAGGAGGAGTGAGATGGAGTCATACCAGAGGCAAGAAAGGGCACGCTTTGGTGAAAGTGAAGGATGGGACGGGGGGGTTAACGGAGACATTCACGACGCGAAGGGAGGGACAGAAACACGAAGACGCGTCGGTGACCATCATGACTGTAGCAGGGAGGACCACTGAGGGAGGCGGCAGATAAACACAGCATTGAGCTCCCACGACTTTGGAAACTTGAACAGTAAAAAAAAAAAAAAAATCAAAAATCAAAACCGACATTGAAAAATAGTCAATATATATAAAAACAGAATAGCAGAAACAGAATAGTAACGTATTATAAGTCTTAACTGTGTTGATAGTAAAGGACTGTGATTCTCTGACTCTCCCTATAAAGTGTTTGCTTCCGTCATTGCTTTGCGTCCTCTCACATAAGAGTCCAGCAATGGCTGTGTAAACAAAACCCAAAAAAGGTAGGGGGGAGGGGGATATCTGCAACTGTGCATCCATGTGATTGGCTGTGCATCACTTTACTTCCTTCTCCTGTTCATTCTGTGACTGGCCCCCTGGGGCCCGGTTTGGCGCTGCGATCGGCTGGTTAAACCCTCAGCCGTCGGACCGCCATGTTTGGTGGGCCTCCACTTCCTCTGAGACCACCAATAGGAGTTCACAGTTCTTCCCTCGCAGCTGCTGGCGTAGAAACTTCCTGCGTTGTGGTGAAAACAGGACAGCCACAGTTATGATGATGGAAAGGCAAACACCACAATACACAGGGTCAAGATTCTAAAGGACAGACCTGCTTTAAAGCTGCATGTTCATTTTACGGCCACTAGGGGCAGCAAAAACAGCATGAACATACAATCCCTTTCCAAAGCTGGTATGGCAAGCGTGTTGTGATGAATGTAAGACCAGTATTTACTCTACTTTTAGCTCTGTTTTAGTCTCCATAGACTCCTGGGGGAAATATCTGGCTCATCAGCTGTTTAATGGTCCACTGTGTTCACAAGCTAGTCGCTAACTTTGTCTGTTTGTCAGGTAGGTACTGCAGCACACAGCGGGCTTTAGAGCGTCATGGCTAAAAAAAACTAAACAATGAGCTAAAAGATGCTGAAACACTCCAGAGTATTGATTAGTGCAGCTTTAAAGAAAGAGTTTGATATCAGGAACATAGTCATAGCAGGAACACGTCAACACACAGCGTCCCTCACCTGAGCTCGTCCGGGTTGCCGATGGTTTGAGGGCTACGCAGCTTGGAGTCCAAGTTGTAGTAGACTCCGCCCACCTCTCTGACTCCTATCCAGTGCTGGCGCTTGAGCGGCAGCCGGAGAGGCCCCCAGCGCAGGTTGGATGGCACGTTCAGAATGAAGCCCGTCACGTTGGACAGCTCGATGCTGCCTACATCCCTGGAGGGAAAAAAGGCAATATATTGTAGTAGTGAATGCAGTGCGTTGGCCATGCAATTGCAATTCTTTATCCCACACGACAGGTAGAAGCTTTCAATCCACTAAATGTTAAACAGACGGCCACAAATCTAAAGACGTAAAGGACTGACACACCTAGGCTTCAGACCGGCTTATCGAGAAAATATGTCACAATAATGTTCCCAGTATAATGAAATTATATTGGAATATGGTGTTTCATAATATGATGCAATAGATTTATTTTCCCTCCCTTAATCATCACGTAGGCCTACATTCTTGCTCTTTGTCAAAATGACTGTATATGTGTGGCGTAACAAGCAAACGTGAATGTTGTGAAAAGGATCCCGTGAATTCAGCAGCTTGACGTATTCGTATATATATATATATATATATATATATTAATATAAAATTACTGTTCATCACCTACAATTCCTAATTGAGGAATAAAAACAACAGAAAAGGAAGTTTTACCTTCTTTTATCCCACCAGACTGCCTCGAACCCTCGGGTCTGCAGGGCTGCCATGATAACGTTTACGTCATAGTTCCCGTTTCCCAGCATGCTCTTCTTGTGAGGTGTCACCAGAGTGCCGGGAGAAAGCCTGCAACAAGTCGACAAGACAGATTTCCCAGATTATCCACAACGTTTCACGTGCACCGGCTGAACAGTGACGCGGACTGGTGAGACGGCTTCTCCACCTCTGGTAGATCTCCTGCAGGGTGTCCCGACTGAAGGCCGTCCCGTCCTGGAAGACGTTGTTGAGCGCGTGCAGGGCGCACAGCTCCCTCCTCTGCTTCTCGTGATAAATGGCTGGAGGTGTCAGAGAGGGTTGAGGAGGCAGAGGAGGGGCGAGGGAGGAAGAGGAGGATGAGAGATCCTGCTGCTGCTGCTGCTGCTGAGAATCCGTGGGATCCCGGCACCTCCTCTCCTCCACTCCCACTCCCACTCCCACCACCACCTCCCCTCCTCCTCCTCCTCCTCCTTTCTGCTTGCTGACCTTCCAGCGCATGCAGCCCAGCTCTTGCAGGCCGCCTCGGCCCTTACCCTTCCACTCGCCGGCTGGATACGGAGTGCTTCCCATCCCTGGATGATCACCACCGCCACCGCCGCCGCCGCCGCCACCACCACCACCACCACCACCACCACCTCCTCCAGCTCCACCACTACCTCCACAACTACTGCCTTCAGGATGCTACATCAGCATCATGACAACCATTGCCATAGCAACCTCTCAGCCACTTGGAAGAGAGGAGCTTGTGTGTCTCTGTGTGTGGTCGAGGGGGAGGTGGTGGCGGTGGTGGTGATGGGGGGGTTGCAAGGT